CAGGAGGGTCCTGAGAATTTAAAAACTAAATCCCATTGTCCAGGAGGGTCCTGAAAATTTAAAAACTAAATCCCATTATCCAGGAGGAACCTGAAAATTTAAAAACTAAATCCTATTATCCAAGAGGGTCCTGAAAATTTTAAATTAAATCCCATTATCCAGGAGGGTCCTAAGAATTTAAAAACCAAATCCCATTATCCAGGAGGGTTCTGAAAATTTTAAATTAAATCCCATTATCCAGGAGGGTCCTGAGAACTGAGAATGAACTTACCTGAGCCATGCTCTCATCTTTGAGGATTCTGAACATAATTTCTTGCTCCCTGAACCATGTTTTTCATGGGAGGTCCCTGTGGATTTAAAATTTTTTTTGCCCATGTTTCAGACAAATAAAATCTTGTTAGTTTGAAAACGTGGTGGTTAGTTTGTGGCCTCCTTGCTGAGTGTCTGCTTCCGCCGCTGCCATGCTTCATTCTGATTAGCTGCTTTGGGCTAGCAAGAAGTTGTTTGACCTTTTGATTGGAACTGGACCACAAAACCTCTGCATGACCTGAATCTCTCACACTCACTTGTTGCATTGTGTTTTCATTTTGAAAGTTGTTGAATCCTTGTATTTTCTCAAAATTCAAGATTCACTTGATTGCTTGAACCTCAGTTATCACCATACTGCTTATTCTAAATCAAATCAATTGTGATGTGCCTGACCAGACTCTGCTTTGTGCAATTTAGAAGCTGGTAGTAGGCTTTGAAATCCTTTCCTGCTTGTTCAACAAGGGTTGACTCAAAAGAGACCCATAAAGATAGACTCAAAGAGCAAAGTGAAATAATTTTTGACAAAGGAACAAAGGAAAATTTTGAGCACAGATGACTATATGTAGAAGAATGAGAAAAGAAGACTTATCTGAGGGAAACAGCCAGCTCCAATGATCATGACATGCATTTCAGATTGATCAGCCTAATCCGTCCAACCAATCATATTTTCGGTTCATGTCCTGTCTTCATACTTCAAAACCGGGCTTTCATTGATCCAAATTCTCTGTAAAGTCATGAGCCTCATTCGACTTGTAGTGCCCCAAAGGGTTTTCACCAACAAGCCTATCTCATTTGTTCATCTCTCAACTCACCATCGCCTTATGGTGTCCGCGAGGGTTTTCACCAATAAGACTCTCTCATTTTAAATTTTCTCTCAGCTCACCATCGTCTTACGGTGCCCGCGAGGGTTTTTACCAATAAGACTCTCTCATTTATTCAATTTTCCTTTGTGCCCATGATCAAAGTGTTACCCATGATGTAAATCATACCTCTGTCTCGCTTGACCTGATATCCTCAAAGATTGATCAGAAGGTATTTCTTTGGACCGTAATGTAGGCTTTTGGACAAGGTTAGAAAGAAAGGGTGGCATGAAGGCTCAAACTAATTTAAGATGAAAAGGGGTCAAAATTACAACTTTTGGAATCAGATCTTTTCAAAACCAAAACTTCTGCCCCAGGTTTTTTGGGTCCGGGGAGTTTTAATTTTATTTTGATGGGACCGAACCGTGAGGCTACCTACGTATCCTTAAAAGGAATCAGGTCGAACGTAGTTCAAAACTGAAAGTTGTTTATTTTTGTTTCCCTTTTTCTTTTCTTTTTTTCCTTTCCCTTCTTTTCTTCCTCTTTTTTTCTTTTTTCATTTTTTTTCATTTTTCTTATTTTCACTCATTCATCATCATTTTCTTTCATTCTCTACTTATACTATTGATTCCAAAAGAGGGGTATGAAATAAAATAAATAAAGCTCAATGGGAGTAACAAAGGATGAAAGTGTCTAGGTAGCGGAACAAAATACCTTCGTCATTTCAACTTTGAATATGCCAAGTACAAAATATAACTGAAAGTAAACAAAGAAATCATACATAGTACCTCTTAACTACATCAGAATTGATAGCCATATCTACACATTTACCTTCTG